TAACTAAGGCTAAACCCTAAACCCTAAACCCTAAACCCTAAACCCTAAACCCTAAACCCCAAACCCTAAACCCTAAACCCTAAGCCCTAAACTAAACCCTAAACCCTAAACCCCAAACCCTAAACCGTAGTTAAGAGAGTTACAAGCTTGCCTTGAAACCAAAAGAAGCCCTGGAGCAGTAGAGACAATGGTACCGTCAGGGCGACAGAAGCCGCTGTCCCACGACAGCCGAGCTCTCAGCGTTGACTTCTCAGGGGTCCTAGGATGTTCGGAGGGCTTGTTTTGGGATGCTTATCGGCGTGTTTCTGTTGGGGCTCATGATGAACCCTAAACCCTAAAGCCTTAGAGTTTCTGGGTCAGTGCACCGAGCGCTTCGGGTGTGGTGGGTTGGGGGGGCATTGAGGTGGAGGATGGTGCTGGGTCCTAGGATCAAACCTTCCCATAGGCCTCATAGTAGTTCCTTTTTTGTGGCGTATATTGAGGATCCTATTAGGGAATCCCAAAAAGGAACTGCTATGGGGCCTATGGGTGACTTTAGGCCCCATAGCTAGGTTAGGATTGTTATTATACTGAAAATCTCCAGGAGATCATTAAGAATGGTATGTTCCGTATGGTTTATATCCCTGAACCCTTAGGCCTCATAGTTAGGATTGCTATTATACTGAAAATCTCCAAGTGATCATTCAGAATGGTATGTTTCGTATGGTTCTAAGGGTGCCGAAGCTATCACTGTTATTACTACTTTGTCGTAAATGCGACATCCTGGCCCTTTCTATCCCCCCTAAACCCTTAAGCCTAAACCCAAAACCCTAAAACCCTAAACCCCTAAACCCTAAACCCTAAACCCTGAACCCTAAACCTTAAATAATCCCTATACCCCCAAACCTAAAACCCTAAACCCTGAACCCAGTCTGCTCAGAACACCTCAGGCGACGGCGTGCGCCTGCTCGACAAGCTGCGATGGGACCTCCGGGTGCCTTGCCTTCCATGCTCTATATAGGGGCCTTAATAGCTTATTGGCTGTAAACTCAACTTTTCAAATTTTGGGGTTCTTATAAGGTAGTCGATTNNCTTGGGTTTTGGGCCAGTGAGATAATACCCATACTATTTTGGGGGTTCTTTATTATAAGTATACTATACTAATATACCCCAAACCCTATTCTAATTATTATGTTCCCTACATTAACTCCTGAACCCCAATGAAAACTTTAAACCCAACCCCACCTTTACTCACCAGGGATCCTCCTAAACCCTAAACCCCCGTGCACCGTCAACGGCAAAGCCTCAATCCGACACTCCAAACCCTATCTTTGCCCTGTGCCCTAAACCCTAAATCCGAAACACCAAACCCTAATCCCTGATCTTGTAAGAAAGGAAACTCCAAACCCTCTGTATACCCTAAGCCCTAAACCCTAAATCCGAAGCCCCACCCAGACCCCCAAAAGGATCTAAAAAATAGATCCCCTTTAAGGGGGTTCCTATAAAGTACCCTTTAGTAGTTAGGGCCCCTAATTAGGGGATCTATTTTTAGATCCTTTTGGTGGTCTGGGCAAACCCTAAACCTCGTAAGAAAGGTGGCCTCCGGCGCAGATCTCGGAGACCATGATAAGAGGCACCTGGCCAAGCATGAGGCGCCTCGGCCCCCGGGTTGCGCCATGGTTTAGGGTTCGGGGGTTTAGGATTTAGGGGTTT